TATTGTCCTTCGATGTCCTTCGATGTCCTTTCCACCTCCAACTCGAGTCCTCCAGTTCTTCCAGGTCCACGGCTTGCTCTCCCAAGTCCTTGAACATTCCCACGCGGCACCGTCATGGAAGTCTACTAGAAGTCTAGAACGCTAGCTATAGAGTAAGTAGAACATTTGTCTTGTCCAAAGACTCACAATGAATCTCAAAGTCAGCGGATCAATTCACAGCTCTTGACATTCAAAGCAGAAAAGGCTGGAACTACAAGTTCTGCAGGCTCGTCAAGCGGCTCGATACCTGCTTCATGTTTAAGAGAATGAAAGATACTGAAAGGCAAGACAAACCAATTGCGTCCTGTTAATATGTTAGACAAAGGCTAAGCCGCTAAGCCAAGTCCTGCTGACGGTGTCACATGTCAGATCATGGCAGATGTCAGCCTGTCTTCTGGGAGCTTGAAGACGATCCTTCGAGATGGAGGCATAGACATCGAGACAGAAAAGGATAGAAAGGCGAAAGGGTAGGGATTGCGATCCAGGTTGTGACAATTTCATACAATTTCCACCATCAAATTCGCTGCAAAGGGCGGTAGGAATCAGTAGAATCTCCATTCAAAATCTTCAATCTCGCGATCACGGGAGATCTGGAAGCACTTTCACAATCACATCTGCCTCCTGAGGGAGCCTTCTTCAGCATTTCTAGTATGTCCTGAGACAGAGAACGACACGGCATGTCACTTCGTCTCCATATCACCATACAGGATATGCCGCAGGAGACATCTCACGACATCTCACGACATCTCACGACATCTCACGACATCTCACGACATCTCACGACATCTCACTGCTCCTTGCAGAGCCCGGACATACCGTTGCTTCGCCTGCAACAAAGTTCTTGCGCGCGACAAACGACGACGAATGACGACGATATCAGCAATGTGCTGTGCTATGTGCATCTATGTGCTGTGTTCATTCGTGCAATGGGCCTAATCAGCGGATGTAAAGATGGGGAGCAATCGCGGAAGACCATCTCCTGGATGGTCTCCTGACACCAGATGACACCAGACACCAGATGACACCAGGAGATGGTCTCCTATGGTCTCCTATGGTCTCCTCTTACATCTTCCTACTGTACTCTGCACTTCTCTGCACTCTGGCAGTGTGATGAAAGACATCCCACAGTTTTGTTCATCGGCTGAGGCACCGTAAGCAGCGCCATGTGTCAAGACACAAAGTCAGCTCTACATAGCTCAGCACATGGTCGCGCAAACCGATCAAAAGAAAAAACTTTGAATCTATCCAACCTATCCAACAAGTTGAAGGCAACCAGTAGTTTGGTCATGTTTAGAGTCCAATGAATTTACTTGCAACAAAATAAAGTAATTTCATATAATTTCATGATATCTAAGGAATACCAAGGGTTTGTTCAGGAGTATCCAGGTCATAATCAAGCTTCTTGAGTTGTGACAGGTTTCAACAGTTGTACACTGACCATGTGCGTGTTCACGTCTTCCCTATCATCCCAATCTCTTCGCTATCTGCTCTCATCATTTCTCATTGATTTTCTCGGTTTTCTCACGACTTATCTGCGCTAACTTCGGGAGAAACTCCTTTGTCGGCGTTCATCTGACCTTTGAGCCAGGCGCCTGCATGACCTTGCGGGATCTTGCGGAAGCTGTACGCAGCTTTGGCAGTGCACGGATTCTACATTGTTGTTACATGTCACACGTCTTACATCGTCTTACCGTCTTACCCATTTTGCAGAGCAAATTGCTCCTTTTCTGCTCTATCTTTTCTGCGCATAAAGATCATAAAGAAGTACATTGGGGAACTGCGCCACCTTGCCATGACGATGCTTTGCATCTTTGCGCCAGAAGCATTGAGTCACCTGGAAAAAAAAGACACGAGCCAGGCGCTTTAGAAGAAGTCAACTTTATATAACTTTATTGCATATCAATTCAATTCAATGATCATCAACTCAATACTTCCGCTACATCTGCAAAGTGCCGCAATTGCAAACATTAACTTTGGGACAGTTCCAAACCCTACTTGGATATAGGCTGTGTGGTTTGGAACTGCAAATCCGCTCAGAGTGCGGATCAATTTCAACGTCAGCCCAGCGACTGCCTCCCACGCTTTTGAGGCTCAACCAAATGGCAACCCCCAGCGACTGTCTGGGAAAGAAAATTGCAAGCAGTGAAAAATTGTGAAAATGCGACGCCAAGACAGTCAACATGAAGTTGTTGAGCATACGGGTTGTCTTGGTTGTACTAGCATATGTGAGATATCCGATATACCAACTACGTGTATAACATGCATATAATATATATATATATATGTGTGTGTGATATTATATGATTAATTAATTACGATTGTATTCTGTTGCACGGTATAAATAGGGAACTTGCCAAAAAAAAGTTGATACAGCCAAAGACCAAGGTGCATCCCTTAGAAAAGGCAAAACGACCCGTCCATGCTATGCCGTTCTACAGGCCATATCCTCTTGGTGCCTCCCTGTGCAACTGCACTAGACCTATTGGATCTCGTTGGACCATTGACATCCATTGACCCTTAATAGGCAAAGATCATCAAAGATCATCAAAGATGTGCATGCTACGTTTTCTCCAAGATGCCCAAGGTGTTCGTGCTCAAATTTCATGCAGCCAAGGCTGCCAAGGCCTTCACTTGCAATTCGCTTCACCTGCAGTTCACCCGTCTTTCGTGATTTTGAGAATATGTTATAATTATTATCATATAAATCATATGTATTTAAACGTGCTTGAAGTGTCTTGATGTCAAGTTCAATGGACTTGGATGGACTTGGTAGAATCTGCTTCTTTGGGCCAGGCCTGAATCCACCACAGCCACCACAGCCACCACAGCCACCACAGCCACCACAGCCACCACAGCCACCACAGCCACTGTTCCACCCCTCAGCACAGTAGCACGCCATGCTGTTGCTCTGCAATGCTTCGTGTAGCCGTGTAGCCACCTGTGCTGTCTTTCGGGGCAGTCCCTGGGGGCAGTCCCTGGGGGCAGTGGGGCAGTCCCTTGGTTTCCGTGCTCCGCTGGACCTGGGAACACTGCGCAAGACGCAAGACCGGCGGCTTCTGCGCCAAAATTGTGAAGCAATGAGAAGCAATGGTCTGAGTCAATCTGAGTCAATCTGAGTCAATCTGAGTCAATCTGAGTACTCTACTGTGGGTAGCCACACCCACTGGCCTTGAGCACCCGACGGCCATGCCAAAAGTCATTTCATTCTGCTTGTCTCACGCATTTGTCTCACGCATTCGAGGCGTTTTGTGCTTAGTTATTTCATGCTCACTGGGTTCCAAGCCATGCCAAATCCACCAGCCTCGGGCATTCTGTGGCACGGACAGATTCTTTCCAAAGCAGTCTCTGTCCAGCCAGGTTGTGAAACAAGGGAAACAAGGGAAACAAGGTATCATGTTGTAAAGGTTGCTTCAATTTCTGAGAGAATCATGGGGAACAAAGAAAAGTTTCGCCGGTTTCGCCTTATCACCGTGATCTCCATTCAGCGTTGTGCTATGTTGTGCTATAGCTCCATCCATAGCCATGATGTTCCATGATGTTCCATGATGTTCCATCATCTCCCATATGGATTCCATATGAATTCCATATGGATTCCATATGGCCACCTGTGTTGTTCCCATTGTTCCCATTGTTCCCATTGTTCCCATTGTTCCCTTCCTTAGCTGCCCACTGGTGGTGCACCGATGCCAAAGTCGCCACCAGCCGGAGCCGCTAGAGGCGGAGCCCCTAGAGGTCCAGCAGGGGCCTCATCAGGGAGTTAGGGAGTCAGGGAGTCTAGGCATCAGGGAGTCGGTGGTGATAATTGTCCGTCTTTTGGTGCTGTCTTTGTACTTTCCGTTTTCGGTGTCCTCTGCTCAAAGACTTTTCAGGCATAGTATCATAGTTGTAGATGTTGAATAGGCTAAATAGTGGTGTTTTCTTGACCTTTCTTGACCCATGGCGGGTGCGAACTCGCAAAAGTTCATTTCTTTCGTCGTGCTGAAAGTGCTCTAGGCCATGCACAGCACCGATGCCAAAGTCGCCGCCGCCCTATGCCGAGTAGGAAGGCGACTACTTTGTGGGAGAACTTCTGCACAAACAAACATGGCAAACATGGTGCAACATGCAAAAAGCTGTCCACATGCTGTCCACGAACACTATCGTTGGAGATGAGGAAGGACTATTCGAGGAGAATTGGTTGCCAGTTTGTGGTCAAAGATCAGTTTCTCCAAATGTTTCTAAAATGTCTAAATCCAAGAATGATTAAGATGATTAAGAATGATCAAGGCAAAATGATTGAAATGCTGTCGAAGACGTTGAAATCACATTGTTGGTGTCGGTTTCTTAAGCGCTCAGACTAAGTGTGCGACGCTCGCACCGTAGCCACAGCCGTAGCCACCTGGTGACCTCATGGCATCATGGATCCCATGGATCCCATGGATCCCATGGATCCTATGGCAACTTCAAATGTTGAAAGATGCTTTAAAATGCGGAAACAACATGAAACAACTAAGAAATCCATGAGACTATGGCAAAATACAGCAATGCATTCAATGCATTCAATGCATCCATGTATGCGGCGATACTTCAAAACTGGGCACTGCGGCATATAACTTTGAGCACCATAGCCACTGGAATAGCTTGGATCGCACCCTCCAAAGCCAGACCTTGTCCCAAACTTCCAAAATGCAGTGAGGCTCTGAGATTCAGCATTTCTTTAAGAGGAAACTTGCTTTGAGTGTATAGAAGTAGAAGATAGTAGAAATCTTTCTGTTACTCTGGTGATGGTTCCACTTTGTTCCACGTTCCCTCTGCTCGTGGGAATTGCAAATTTGGAGGGAAGAACATTCTAGCTTCAGGCAGCATCATACCCAAACACCACAAAATGCTGTGAAATATATGTATATAATATCTATATATATATATGTAATTCTGTGCATCTTCAGGTCCCAGTTTCAGCATGTTTCGACATTGGATCACTCCTATTGAGTGGCTGGCGGAGCATAACTCTGCTGTGGCGCAGCACCGTAGCCGTAACCATTGGCATAGCCGTTCACCTTGGAGAAGTCACAGACTTACAGAAAAAGCCTCTGGAATGATAAGTTTGACTCAAAATGATTTTGAGCACAAAAGTTCGCCAGTTCACGTCCCAAAAACTTGGAGCTTACAGCCAAATGGGAGTTTCCCAAAATGGCCATGGAAACATTGTTTCCATTGCTATGAAATGCTATGAATCATAGAATCATAGCAGATCCGCTCGAAAAAATCACCAGAACAAACGCTCCAAGGAACAGCTCCACAGGGGCCACAAGGCTGGCCGGGGCCACAAGGCTGGCCGGGGCCACAAGGCTGGCCGGGGCCACAAGGCTGGGGGCCACCAGGAGCACCCATGGGAGGCCTTCCCAGAGGCTAAAAGAATGCTTCGGAAAAATGCCTTGTGCGTGGTTGAACGTCGTTGAACGTCATTTGACCTTTGTTTTCTAACCGTTCTACAATGTTTAACAACTTCAACGCAGTTCACAGCCCCCCACAGCACAGCCCTGCCCAGCCGTGGAGCCTTGTGTTTTGCTCCAGAGGTTGAAGAGGAGCCTCCAACAGCAATACGGCGAAGGTTCCAGCATGGTGAAGTCAAGACTGTCAAGATAGAGTGTGTTGCGGGGAATGTTTGCACGACGACTGTTGCATGAAAACATATGAGAAACAGGATAAAACAGGATAAAACAGGATACTGATCTCAAGTTGTCCAAGCCCGGCCATCTTCACCACGCTGGAGTTGAGCTTGGTCGCTGGGACCCAACCTCTCGCAAAGTCTCACCCAACAGGACAGTCACATCAAGTCACCAAGTCAAGAATTCTAGGGTTGACCCACTCGTACATTGTCGTAATTGTCGTAGTGATTTAGACTGATTTAGACTTTTCAAGATATTCAACTTGCTCATCTCACCACTGGAGATGCTGCGTCGATACATTTCATTCCTCTGCGAGCTGCATCGCGCCTTTCTTCTCATCAGCGAGCTTCAAGAAGACCTTCCCCAAATCTTCGCGACAAAGACATACAAAAATTATACAGATAATACCAAAATTACCGGAAAAAATACGAAAAGGTTTCTTCACAATGTCGTATTTGTTTCACATGTTTGACTGGTCACAAATACGACCAAACGGCACAGGCACGACATTCGCCTCGTTGGCATAGGTGGTGACCTTCTCCGAGATGTTCACACGTTGCCTCGCAGGTGCGCCAAAGCAGCAAACGGGTTTGTTTCCAAAGTATCATGTTGATATCATGTTGATATCATGTTGATATCATGTTGATATCATGATCTGTTTCAACGTCTTTCAAAATGTTTCATGTTTCAAAATGTTTCGAAACATCATGGGTCGTTCAAAAGATGCCAAAGAAATGCCAAGAACACACGCTCCCAGATCCAGCCTGTATTTCAGCCTCTTCCCCCTGTTCTTCGCATTTGACCGAGTTGGGGTCTCCCGAACCTGCGCTCCGTCCTGAGTTGGATGCGAAATACATGGAAATACCTTCGCCACAAAGCATAAATAAGCTATGATGAGCCTCTGATGAGCTTACAGTATCTTACAGTGTTTTGTCTCTGAGTCAAGAAAGGTCAAGGTCCACTGAATTTACGAAAAGACATGCGCAAGTTCATCCATCCTACTTGCTAGTATTTGACAGTAGTTGCTAGGGTTCTACTTCACTCCTCACTGATCTTCACTTGCTGCCGGTCAGTCTCCTTGTCGTTGCAAACATAGATCCACTTGTGGCTTTCTCTCACCAGGAGGTCACATGCGACCTGCGCCATGATTGCTGTTTTTCACAACCAGTTGTCAAAACTATTGAAACTGAAGAGTGAGCCTTGCCACACACGTGCACAAGACAGGCCAAACCAGAGAAGCCAACCCTCACACATCCCGTGTTCAATCCCATCTGCCTTTCCACTTGAATCTTCCCTGGCAACCCAATGCCCGTCTACCAGCCTGCAAGATGCGTCTGAGCAGGTCTGAAATGGTCTGAACAGTCTCTGAGTTCGCTGAGAATCCCAAAGCTGTGGGCGGGAAGGGTGACATTGGACATGACTAAGTAGTGACTACGACTTATTTCGACTTCAACCATTTTGCCAAAAAAAATGTTGAAATCTGCAGCACCGGTTGAAGCCGTCGCAGGCCAGTCCTGTAGAAGGTCTGCCCGCAGGCGACGACTTCTTCCACAGCCTTGACACTGAGGGAGATCAGCCGTGGTTTCACTTGAAAGATCTTGAAAGTGGAAGGCCACACCAAAGCCATACATTGCCGCACTGATCGCACTGTATCTTGGAGGTTGTGTTCATCAGGTCTTGTGTGAGAGCATGGGAGAGCCTAAGATGTCATGCCAATATCGATATGGATCTGAAAATGGTCTGAAGAACTTCCCTTGCGACTTGCAACTCAGTGCCTCCACGAAGTCACCGCAAATCAGATTCTTTCCAGCGGTCCGAAACCTGCAAGTCGTACGCATAGGTTTAATATGCTGATACCAAATCCAAAATAAATCTCGTGCCTCACTAGAAACCCTCGAAATAGAGCATCGGAACTTCATGGATTTTCAGTCCTTGCAAAATTCCATAAATTTCTGTTGCGGCGCCTGCTAGGGCCCTGCAAGAGTGACACTGAAGATTTGCTTTGCACCGAGACCCAGCATGGCCTGGTGGACTGTAAGAGCAGCAAGACTCAATTGACTCATGGGTTTGACATCGTTTGACTATTTTTGACTCATGATTTTGCCAATTTTGTTGTGTTTTCGCCAAGCTCCGCAAACGACGTCTGAGCTCGTCTGTAGTCCGAGCCTCCCCTGCTGATTAGGATTGTGAAAGCCACCCGCCTCGAGGCTTGACGCACACTGCTTTAGTCACTTTGAAACATATTTGGCGACCGCGAAGCAGAACCACACGCCTTGAATTCACAAAGGACGGGCTGTCCTTGATCAGAGCCTTTGAAGCCGCAGTGCATCCTGCAAGTATTTGTAAGTATCTGCAAGTGTAAGCATGACATGGTTTTAGGATTTCGATGTGGCCTGCGCAGCATGGCAGTGCATGGAGTGACCATTTGGTCCTGAGTTCGCCAAGCCAACCTTCGATTTTCCTCTCGTCTTCTACCTCAGGTCAGACCACCCGCGATGATTTCTAGATGGATGCAAGCAAATACAGCCTGCAACACTTCAGCAAGGCCTTGTAATATCTGGCCCACATCTCTTTCTTCTTGTCTGTGGGGGAGGCTGCAAGTACTTGTACCTGCATTGACTACATTTCACTGTACTCGAACCAGCTGAGCTGTCTTGGTTTGATCTCCAACTGCCAAACATTTCAGTTTTCCCGAGCCTGTCGAAGAACTGTGACCACCATGCCAGCAACCCTCGCACACTGCAGTTCCAGTGGCTGAAAAGTTCTGTTGATGAAAACTGAAACAGCACAGCAATAGCGAATCGAGTAGAACATTTTTCCAGTCGAATACTAAGTTGCGACTGAGCTTAATAAGATTTGATAATATTTAATAGGAAATACAGTAAGTTGAAATAAGTCTCAAGCAATTCCGGTGCACCAGCTATCGAACCAAAGGTGAGAGGTGCAGGAGACAGTTTCACCTGTGCCAGGGCAGGCACTCGCATCTCACGCATCTTACCATCGGTTTGTAAAAAACATCCGGCTCAACCTGGTTCAACCTGGTTCACCTCTTGTGTTTTCACCGTTGTGTTCACCAATGAGTTCACCATCTCCTGTCGGAATCGGCTTAACCTCAACAGCTCTGCTCATGGTTCGGGCGCTCGCCTTTTTGTCCAAGCGCGGGTCCACAATGAGTTTTTGCCCCTGGATGCGACATGGTGGGAGACATGGTGGGATCATGCAGGTTCTACCTTCTTACGAACACGAAACAGCAAAACCGATGCAAATGTTGGCATGTGTAGTAGGTCACTTCGCGAACTGATGAAACCAAACCAAGCACGTTGACCTAGCTCTTCGTCGCAAAGTGGAATGTGTCTCGTGAAAACATGTGAAAACTGGATGTGTCAAGTGTTGTCTAGAAACGGCGCCTTTATCATCCTTGGCCGAAGGTTAATTATATATGATTTGTTGATGCTTGTTATTTCTGCTGTGTTTCCGAGTTCAGCCCCACCCAGCCTTATATTGAGAGCCCTCATCGTTCACCTCTGAGACGTGTCGCCGTGAAGACCTGACCATTGCTGATTTGAGATGCAGAACATGTTTGCACAACGTGCGGAAATTTGTTCTAATTAATTTTAAGTAACTTCGATGAATTTTAGTTAGTTTTAGGTAATTTTAGGGAGTTTTAGAGAATTTTAGTGAATTTTCGGGAATTGTTTAAGGGAATGTTAAGGAATTTTGGGTAGTTTTGGGTAATTTTAAATAATTTTAGGTGATTTTAGGTAATTTTAGGGAATGTTAGGGAATTTAAAGGAATTTAGGGAATGTTAAGGAATTTTAAGCATTTTGGTGAATCTTAGGTAATTTTAAAGAATTTTAGTGAATTTTTGTGAGTTTTAGTGAATTGTAATGAATTTTAGAGAATAATTTAGTGAATTTCAAGAAATTTTAAAGAAGTTCAATGAACTTTAAGGAATTTTAGCAATTTATGGAATGTTCGTGCATTTTAGTGAACTTTAGCTGATCTTAATGAATTTTCGGGAATTTTCAAGGATTTTAGGGAAATTTAAGGAATGTTTTAAGGAACGTTAGGGGATGTTAAGCAATTGTAAAGGATTTTAAGGAATTTTAGGAAATTTAAATTTTATGTCATTTTAGGTAATTTTATGGAATTTTAATGAATGTTAGTGAATATTAAGAAATTTTAAGGAATTTTACAGGGAAATTTAAAAATGATTTTACGAAAATGTAGGGAATTTTAGAAAATTTTAGTGAATTTCATAATTTTAGTCACTTGTAGGAAATTGGACAAAAAACGGGAAATTTATAGGTGATTTTAAGTAACTTTAATGAATTTTAGAAATTAGAAGTAAATTCAGTGCATTAAATGGAATTTTAAGTGATTTTGATGAAATTTTGTGACTTTCAGTTGATTTGAGGAAATTTGAAGTGGTTTTAGGTAACTTGAGAGCAGGCGGAGGCGGACGAAAGGTAGTGTAGTGGGAGAGGAGTGGTGTCAAAATGCTGCGCCTCTAAGATGATACACCAAAAACGTTTTTGCGCAGTCTAAGATGATTTTATCCAGAGCATGACTGCATGATACGGTGTCTTGTGCAGCGTGAAATGATGCACGAAAAGGGGTTTATTTAAAACCCCTTTTTAAGACCCCTTGCAGCAACTGTTATTGAGGCTGAAGCATACCAATTATGCTGGACTACAGGGACATCTCCCTCATGCAAAGTGTGCCTCTAATGTGGGGGCCCGTGACCGCGTCACCCGTGGGAATTGAACCCATGACCATTTTCGGGGGGGGGGGCCCCCCTATAATTGATATCCAATACATAACGGCGAGAATTCCATGAATTCCGTGGGCTGGCCCCCCAATACCCCCTAAGCTTGTGCTGAAGCACGGAGAACTCAGGTAGCTGACGCTACCTTTCGTGATTTTAACTTATTTTCAGAAAGCGAGCAAATGTGCATCATTTTGATTTTCGAACTGTCAGCCACTTGCAGCCACTTGGCAGCCACTTGCTCAGGCAGCCACTTGGCGGCCACTTGGCAACCACTTGGCAGCCACATGACAGCCAATTGCTCAGGCAGCCACTTGGCGACCATTTGGCAGCCACTTGGCGACCATTTGGCAGCCACTTGGCAGCCAATTGCTCAGGCAGCCACTTGGCAGCCACTTCGCAGCCACTTGCAGCCACTTGCACCCACTTACAATTGGCAGCCACCCGCAGCCACCTGGCAGCCATTTGAGCCGCTTGGCAGCCACTTGGCAGCCACTTGCTCAGGCAGCCACTTGGCAGCCACTTACCAAAGCAGCCACCTGGCAGCCACTTGCAGCACTTGCTCAAGCAGCCACTCGGCAGCCGCTTGCAGCCACTTGCAGCCACTTGCCAACCACTTGGCAGCCAGTCGCAGCCAGCCGCAGCCGCCACTTCCAGCCACTTGGCAATCACTTGCTCAGGCAGCCACTTGGCAGCCGCTTGGCAGCCACTTGGCAGCCAGTTGCAGCCAGTTGCAGCCACTTGCTCAGGCAGCCACTTGGCAGCCACTTGCTCAGGCAGCCACTTGGCAGCCACTTGGCAGCCACTTCGCAGCCACTTGCAGCCACTTGCAGCCACTCGCACCCACTTACAATTGGCAGCCACCCGCAGCCACCTGGCAGCCACTCGAGCCGCTTGGCAGCCACTTGGCAGCCACTTGCTCAGGCATTATATATATATATATGTCTGTATGTATGTATGTATATATATATATATATTTTTTAAATTGCATACATATTTGTATGCATAAACAGATATATCATATATCATATATAAGATATATCTGTCTATCTATAGTTTATCGACTTGCCCCTTCAAAAGGTGCAAAGAAGTAATGATGTAAATATGAACTAAGTTCGCGGCAGGGCAAAGCTAGCCGCAGCACGGTAGTCCCCATGACAATGGCGACCGGCTGGGCAGATGGGCCCGCTGGCAGAAAGAGATCAGGACATGAGAGACAAGCTGCTGATTGCTTGACCGAGGCTCCAAGCAACCGGAATCCTTGATTCATGATATACAGAAGAAGTGCTTCGCCACGGAAAAAAACAATCCAGACTATGCATTGTGCCTGCCACGCACTTTGTGATGAAAAGATCCTTTCCACGTAGCAAGGGAAGGGCAAAACCCAAGGAGCCCCGCTTGTGTCCACTAGACGAAGGGAAGAGCCCCCGCCTGGGTGACCAATAAACCCCTTCTGTCCATGACGTGGCACAAGTGCCGGCAGCCACTTGGCAGCCACTTACCAAAGCAGCCACCTGGCAGCCACTTGCAGCACTTGCTCAAGCAGCCACTCGGCAGCCGCTTGCAGCCACTTGCAGCCACTTGCCAACCACTTGGCAGCCAGTCGCAGCCAGCCGCAGCCGCCACTTCCAGCCACTTGGCAATCACTTGCTCAGGCAGCCACTTGGCAGCCGCTTGGCAGCCACTTGGCAGCCAGTTGCAGCCAGTTGCAGCCACTTGCTCAGGCAGCCACTTGGCAGCCACTTGCTCAGGCAGCCACTTGGCAGCCACTTGGCAACATTTGCCCCCAGTGGCTGCCAAGTGGCTGCCAAGTGAAGCCGCCAGAAGTTCGATGAAGGAGAAGAGAACCACGGTGAGGTCCAACCAGTTCCTGGGCTCTCAGTCGGCCATCAAGTGGGAATCTACTAGCTGGGTGGTCGAGTCCTACCGCGCTGAAAAATATGCGGGTGGTTTTGGGATGATTGCTCCAGGTATTTCATACTTACTACCTCGGGAAAGGTTCTCCCTGGCCCGCCCCGGCCATTTCAACATACGGGATCCACCTCATTTAAACATACGTTAAATACAATCGCTCTACCAGGGGTGGAGAAATTAGGGCAAAAATGGGGTATCATTGCTCTAGATTAGCAGATAAATAGCAGGCTGATGGCATGTCTGATTGACGCATGGAGACATATTCACCTTCCCTCCCTCTTATCAGAACAGTTTGTTGCAGGGGATGAACAACATCGACTTTCTCTTCAGGGGGGACACCCACATTCGCCACAACACCATCTTTTTTTGCCTTGCTTGTCGCTCTGCTGGTTCTGCGCCTGTCACCCCCCTCCCACCGGACGGCTTTGTGCTCGTCCGGTGGGAGGGGGGCCTGTGCGGCGACTTCTGTACCGTTGGTGCCTTTTCGGTTCTTTGTCCTGCGGCGGGGCGTTTTGGCAGGGCTCACTCAGTTTATTGATTGGAAATTTCCATCGGCCGGTATCATTAGAAGATGTTAATCCGCTCTCCCTCTCTCTCTCTATATCTTCATCATCTCTAGATCCGTGCATTTTATATTATGAACTGGTCTTGCCAAGTATGAATTTGGAATGCGCAGTCTTGAAGTTGCACACCATTGCTTATAATTAAGTATAATGGTTTGAAATGTCGTTAGATGGAAGATGGAAAGTTGCTTTTAGCGAATAGTTATTTTCCTATGCTGGCTGGTGGTCATCCCGGGCCCCAGCTGCACTCCCCGGCCTAGGCTTCCTCTTCGTTCTCTCTCAGAGGGAAGAGGCGGTTGCGGAGTTCGGCAACCAGCCGTGCCATCCTCCGTGGAAACGCCCTTGGGTGGTTGTGCCGGCGGACGTTCAGCCGGCACCGGCGTGCGGCTTTGCGGAGAGTCTGCTTCAGCTGCCACACCCTGAGGAGCTCGCGGGCAGTGCCACCCGCAATCTCCTTCGATGTGAATCAGATCAGGGCGGGTCCAATTTAAGGGGCCTAGAATTGTACACATAGATAGGCATAGCTAGATCGTAGAGGCATACACACACATAAAAATATATAAATAAATATATATTTATCTATATATGTGTGTGTGTTGATATTTACATAAACAGTATATCTAATTACTGTAGGTGCGTAACCTTTTTCTTTATTCTTCCGATGTTTTCTGTTCTATTGCATCCATTGATCTTTCTGAACTAAGCGATGTCTCAATCCTGAGTGGCCGATCGTTATCATGTCTATTTATGAATATTGGATGTTGTTATTTTCAGACCTCATAAATTCTGTTCTCAAGTCGTTGTTCGAGGAAATGTATCGGGTCATCGGTGATCAACCTACCTGCTCAAGCAATCTATGATAGAATCAGGATATATATATATAGTTGATGGTGCATCATTCGTGCTATTTAAATATTTCTTTCGAGGCAGACAGATTGCTTTTTTTTTGGGGGGTCCTCGGCCGTCTGCCGCGCGCGCTGAGCTGCGCTGCGTGGCGGGTTTTGGCTGCACTCGCTCAGCAACTGCGCAATTCGCGCAGGGCTGAACCCTTTCTGGCGGAGTGCTTGGCGGACTTCAGCCACCGTACCACAGACCACCTTCAAGCGCAGGCACTCCATCTGAGATGGGCCCGGCATTGTTTAGGCAGAGAGAGGAGAGCGGTTTTGGCGGCTGGTCTTGTCTGCTCGTGGCTGCGGTTCCACATTAGTAATCTACTTCCTATTCTCCCCAAAATCAATATCCATCTATATCAGCACCTATCATCTATGGCCGATTTGGGCTGTTGCGCCAACCAAATTAACTTAGCATCCCTTAGCACCCCAGACGCTCGGCCAAGGTACCAAAATTGCGGAACGCATCCGTGTACCAACTGGGCCCAAAGGATTTGGATATGAGCTGCTCTGCGTTGTGTGGAAACTTCATGCCGGAGAAGTGACCTGGAAAATCCAAGAGAATGATTGCAGGAGAGGCTTCTTCATATGGGGTTTCTGGTATTAGGATATCCTCAAAACAAACATGGCAAGTGTTTGGGGGGTGCGTGGTTGGTTCCCACCTTTGATTGCCGCTATCCTTAAATTGCATAAACGTTGCTATCATGGTTCACCGTTTTCCCCTGCGAAGATTGCCAGTTACCTGGTCATATTTAAGCTCGTTTTTAGACGCAACATGGCATGTTCATGAGGTTTAAAACTGCACATGTTTATAAAAAAAATGTGGAACCATTAACGTTTTTCACAATATTCAACCACCAAAAATTTGCTGTCTTCAGCACCAGCATGTTTGAGTCTTGCAGTCCGTTCTATATACTTTCGAAGTTATCACTGCGTAATCCTCCTAAATCAAGTAATTAGATGGAATCTTCCATGAATGGGAGCACAAATCAAAACCACCATCCACACATCAATTTTCCTTGCGGAAACCATGTCAAACCTCCCATTGGTTCCTGATCACACCGTCGTGGTTTGCTTACCGATTTAAGCGCGATGACCCACCCATGGCCGGTGACACCGGGCAGATTCTTCAGCGACATCTCCTGCATCCCCTTGTGGCTCAGGCGCTTGAAGGGTG